CCTGTTGTTCTATGCCCTCTATGTTTTCCAAAGAGAACATTACTGATGAATTAAGAGCAGAGACTGGTGGGTTGGGAGATACAGCTCAGTGGTAGAGTGCTCATGAGATATTGGGTTCAAACTACCATACAGACAGCATGGACTCTGCAGTCGGAGAGATCCTGGCATTGCCTCTGACTCAATGGCTATGACTTTAGACTAGACATTTGACTTCTTGAATGGAACCTGTTAACCAAGCTGTGACTCTTCGAGCTATAGTAAGGACCTAACTGAGAGATGAGAAAAAGCTTGCCACAGTGTCTGACATAAACCAAGGGATGACAAGGGGCTGGAAACTTGGTTCAGTGGTAAAGAGGACTCCCTGTTCTCCAAGAGGATACAGTTCCCCTCACCCATCAGGAGGCTCACAACAGTCTGTAACTCTAGGTCCAGGGGATCTGACACCCTTTTCTGGCTTCTGTGGGCACTCCCTGCCTCCACATGGTATACACATACACATTAAATAAAAAAACTGATGAGAATTATATGATCAGCTCCTATGGACAGAGGCACATTGGGTGCCAGACGCAATTTGACATAGTAAACATGAATGGATCACATGTGGGCCATTAATCAGAGCATTGGTTATGAAGTGATTACTCTACTCATTTTAGAGTTGAAGAAATGGACCCCTTGGGGGTGCTGTCCAGGCTCACTCACCTAGAAGGAATCAGAACCAGGTAGTCTGGCTCCATAATCTGTGCACATGCTGGTCATTACTGCTCAGTAAATGGTAAGCAGTTAATATTCCTATGAAAGAGATGTTAGGCAGAAGGGAGGGGTTGGACCACATGGACTGTTCCCTCCAGGTGAGATTTCACACTTGTTCCAACTTGGCTTTTAAGGACATAGTAAAAGTCTTTTGGAACTTGCTTATTTTTGGTTTAATAGATGGCCAGCTCCTGTCTCCAAACTTTACTTTCTTCCCTTGATGCTAACAAACATCTGGGCATTTGCCTGAGAATGGGAGTGGTGAGCATTGATATGTGGGGCTGGGACTGTCCTCACCTTGACCACAGCTCCCTATAGCAGGCACTTCATGCTGGGGTGTGCAGGGGTCTCTGGGACTCACAATCTCTCTAAGGGAAATCGTTTCACATAGCTGTGGATCCTTGGTGAGAGTAAGAGGACAGATTAGAGATGCATGCGCCAACATCTCAGTGTTAGTAGAAAAACAATGAGTCTTTCTGCAAGGAACAACATATTCTAAAATGAAATGGAGATCTTTTTTAAAGGTTAAAAACACATTCGATTTTATGTCTTACAGGGGACAAGTAGTGGGGAATGGCTGGGGGTGCCGACAACACAGCAGACAGTAGCAGGGATACCAGAGTATAAGGTCTCTAGTCAAGGAAGGGAGGTTATGGTAGGGTGCTACCTGGGAAGTTGGTCTACAAAAAATAATTCTTCAAAACATAAAAATTTGCTACTTAATAACTAGTAGATGTGAAAAACATTACCATTGAAATTTACCTGATGACTTTATATCCATTCTCAGATGCTAAGGAGCTCAGAAAGTAACCAACTGTGACTAGTAATAATCAGATATATATAGAGATTAGAAATGCATATACATCTTAGTGTCAGTTGTATTAAAAATGAATTTTTCTGTATGAAACTGTGTATTTTAAAATGAAATGGAGATATTTTTTAAAGGGTAAAATATCATTCAATTTTATGTCTTATAGGGTTTATACTGAGTTCAATATTGTATAACTCTATTAATTCAGCTGTAAACCTAAAAATTTACAGCCAATTTTGAAAGAGACGCATCTTAGCTCTGGAAATTGTTATTGAATATGTCAATACTGTTGTAGTGAAATGCTGCTTCTAAGTATGTGGTTATTAAATAAATAATTTTTAAAAAAAGAGGGTAGGGAGGGGCCAGGACATTAAGTGAGCAGAAGAGATGTGTTTGAGCTGTCGTGTGTGTGTGTGTGTGTGCGTGTGTGTATGTTTATGCGTGTGGGTGCATATACATGTGTATGTATGAGTGCATGTTAGGCCAGAGGTAAGGTATCTTAGCTTAATCACTCTCTACCTCTTTTATTTATTTTTGGTTCTTTTGAGACAGGATCTCCCTATAGCCCCAGCTGGCCTGGAACTCATTATGTAGACCAGGCTGACCTCAATTTCACAGACATCTGCTTGCCTCTGCCTACTGAGTGCTGGGATTAAAGGAATGTGCCATCACACCCAGCTCTACCTCATTTTGGGGGGCAGAATCTCTCACAGAACCTGGAGTTCTCTGGCCAGTGAGGGCTCCTCCTGTCTCCTCTATCTAAGCGACTGAGATTATAGGCATGCACCACCACACCTGGCTTTTTTATATGAGTTCTGGGGACTTGAACTCAGGCCCTCATGCTTTTGTGGTAAGTACTTTACTGAGTATTGAGATGTGACTTTTGGTCACGACGATTCCTTCTCTTTATGACTACACTAACAATGATCAACTTTGACTCTCAAAGGAAGATCTTGAAATCTGCGGTGAGACGGTAATACCCCAAATTGAGTTTTGTGGAGAGGAAATAGAGTTTCTCAAATTCCCCAAATGATCTCCCGCCTACTTAGCAAGAACCAAGCCAGCCAGCGCTGAATAAGGTTTTACCCTAAGCATCAGGGACAGGACATTGGGATGGAGGATGGGAGGAGGGGGAGGATGAAAGGGGGCCCTCCTTACTACTGGAAAAGGAGGATGCTTCTAGTCCTGGGATGGGGGTGGAAAGGGAGGTTTGGAGAGGGCAAGGGGGAGGGGAGAACTGAGTGAGCTCCTCCAGGGCCCTGTGAGGCTGGGCTGGGAATCAAGAGAGTGTGATTCACAGAGGGTCCACAGGTGATGTGATGAATAAATAGAAAGAGGGGGAGACTCACCCTTATCTCTTTGGGAACTCAAAGTCCAGCTCATGGTAGCTGAGGAGCTTGGACAAAGGGAGGCAAAATGATCCCTGTATGTCAGTCTCTGTTCTCCCAAGCTGGAGGGCAGGGCTTAGGCCTTAGTCATGGACCCAGCACTGTGTTTGATTTCCTGTTGAGTGGGACCTCCAACCACAAGGACACATCAGGACTATGCTGGCCTTTCCCCTCTCTAACATCAAAAAGTCATCCATACTGAGATCACACCAGGCCAAAATATTAAATCCCTTAGTTCCCATTGTGACCAAGACTTTGGGCCAGGTCTTTCCATGGAGAGGATAGGAGAGTGTTGGTTTATTTAGGGGCCTGGGAACCATGTCTCTGAATCCCTAGTACACTTCTCCAGACTTCTCCTGTGATTTCACCTTGTGTCCTCCTGAGTCCTGGCACATGACAGCTGCTCAGTAAAGATTTCATTAGAAAGAATCTTCACCTTGGCTATTGATGTGATAGGATCCGAAGTTCTTATCAATGGGCCCATTTTCTCTGAACACCCAGCATAAATGTCCCTGAGTTTATTTCCTTCTGTTATAGTCTTTCTTGATAGTTTTGTCTACCTATCACCTTGTTTGATCTACAACAGGAACTCTGGAAAGGGAGAATCATTGAACTCAAATGGCCAGAGTTGCTGCCATTGCCACCTGGCAATCCTTACACCCACACAACATGACACATGGAGGCAGATCATGGATTCTGCCCTAGGGCCAGGGGAACGGACTCCATGACCCTTCAGACCCTTCCAATCTACAGAGGTTAGTTTAACCAGTCACTTTTATGGCTTTACAATAAAACCTGGGCATGGTGGCATGTGCTTGTAATCCCAGGTCTGGGGAGGTGGAGACAGGCAGACCTTTGGGGATTACTAACTAGCTAGCCTAGCCTACTTGATGAGCCCCGGGTGCATGAGAGACATCTCAAAAAGGTGGATGGTGCTGTATGGTACCTGAGGAACAATACCTGAAGTCATGGCATCCATACTCACTACACACACACACACACACACACACACACACACACACACTGTCACATTTTGTTTTTATGTTCCTGGAAATACGAACAGTCTCATTTTAAGTCCCATTTACTCTACATGCTTCTTTGGGGAGGGTCCAGTTCAAATTCTACTACCTCCTTTAGGAAGCCTCCCTTGCTTGTTTGGTAGATACTGAATTTCTCTTGTCTAAACGAACATGCAGGTCCTGGTTCCTGTGCTCCATTCACTCCCTTGTGCCTCTACCCAGCCCTTCCTGCTCTTGCCCTATCTGCCATAGCAGGGCCCAGCCTGCACATGTGCTTGGCTCTACCCTCAGCTCCTTGCAACCAGATGTTGGTCCAACATTGGCTGATATGTTTAATGAGTCCCGTATTTTAAGAACCCAAACGGACCAGGTGTAAGGCAGGAGTGGTTTTCTTCATTTAAAGGGAGTTCTGAGTCACAAATCCTGTCTTCAGAGGTCCGCCCACCCCTTTCCAGTAGCACCAACATTAACAATCATGATCATGCCTACTGTGCACCCAGCCTTGTGTTCACTTTTCTAACTCCCTCTCAATCATCCTGACAGATTCCACAAGGCAGAATTCTGCCTCCACCCCTCATGAAGAAACCTGTTGGAGAGGTTGCATAGCCAGTGCAGACTAGAATTGGCAACCGAGTCTGTTTCCAAACTCTCCTAGCTTTAGGATATTTGTACTGTCCTTAGCCTCTTGTCAATGAGTCCAGCAGCTTCTGAGGACACCTGCCTGGAGACACCCAGTTCTTTCCTTTCCTGTGACTGATCTCTCCCAACGGAGGAGATCTCCTCTCCTGTCTGAACACCCCAGCGGTGAGCTTCTCATCCCTGGCAGCAGCACTTTCCCTGCCCTTCCCCTAACCCTAAACTTCATGCACAAATGTTTGTTTCCAACTGTGTCTCTGAGATCTGAACGGAACCCAGCAGGCTGCAAGAGGCCCTTTCAACTGCAGTCCCCGCCCCCAGAAACAGGGGACAGGAGGGGCACTCTTGTTTCTCCAGACTGGAGGAAGCAACTACAGGCTGAGGAGCGCTACCCACCTGGGGTGGGGTCTCCACTTGCACCCGCCTTCGCGAGGGCACCTGTCCAGCTGCCACAGCGTCTGTTCCGTTCTCCTGGCCTCAGCTAGGACCTGGAGTCACGCAGAAAGCGAGTCAATGCTGACAGCCTGCACCCGGGCCAGTTCCCCCAGACAGCCTTGAGAATTCAGCCACGATGGAGCTGCCAGGGAAAACTTTCGCCCGCTGCTGCACAGCGTTATTCGCTGAAGCTGAGCTGGGCACCGGCAGTACGGAGGCCTAAGCCGGGGTACCCCAGGGCGGAGGGTCCAAGGCTGGCTTCTCTTCCCTGGGGTGCCGAGGCCCTTGGCGCGCCCCAACCCTGGAGGACATTAGGCAGCGGTCGGCGTGTGTGTATCTTGGTGACAGCGGTTTCCCCCGGATTACTGAATCATTTGTATATTTCCCAGCGCGGGTTGGGGGCCCTGTCTCATCCCTACCCTAGGTCTCAAATATCTTTCCCAAGGGTCCTGGACTGAGGGACTGTACCCGCTGTCTGTTGTCGGGCTGAGGAGGGCTTGCTGATGTCTAGTGGCCAAGCCCCAGGACTTCAGTCGTTCGAGTGGAAGGACAGTTTTGGGCTCCTGGGTCTCCCCGGGGCCTCCTGGAGCCTCCGGGGCTGTAGCGCCTGGCTCTCCAGACTTTGAGATGCTCCGCCGGCGGGTGGCCGGAGGGCGTCCAGGCCATGCTTGCTCCGAGCATCCTGTTCCCTTCACCAGCTGAGGTCCGGGACCCTCGGCGCTCGACAGATGCCCAAAGTGATCAAGTGGCAGATTTTCCCCAGCCCGTGGCCCTCAGGGGCAACCAAGGCGCTCAGTGGTGCCAGCAGCTCAAGTCCCTTTAACTTTCCCCAGATATACCAAAGTCTTCTCCGCGTACCTCCTTCCTTTGCAGAACTTGGGAGGATCGCTTAACTGCAGTGGGCTCCCCAGGGGACCTGTGTCCGCAAGTGCTATTAAGGTGTACCGCATCCAGCCGGAGGGGAGGTCGGGGAGGGTCTGGCAGGGGTTCCCGGAGGCAGAGGGAGGCGAGAGGGTTACGTACCTGGCCAGAGGCTGAGTACCCAGGCCACCAGGAGGCCCCTGGGCAGGTCCATGGCCCTCGGCGCGGCGGCGGGTGTCCCGATCGGCTCCGGACAGCGAGCCTGAGCGGCAGCCTGAGTCCTCAACACCGCGTCCCAAGCTTGCACTGAACCGGGCTCCGGCTCCCTGACAGCCCCAGAGGAAGTGGGAGGGCTCCGGCGGCGGGGAGGGGCGCGGACCCGGAGGCTCTGGCTGTGGGCCAGTCTCGGCCCCTCTGCCACCTGGGCAGGCGGCGGGCTGCAGGCCGGACGCCCTCTCCACGTCGCTCTTTCTCCCCCGCCCCCCCTCCGCCCCCAGCCCCATTAGGCCCAGGAACAGACCAGACGACCGCTCCTGGGAACCAGCCACCTCACCAGCGCCGCACCTGCCTCTCCTCCACCCACAACCAAACCAGAGCGCTCATAACAGCGGAGATGGTGGTCTTTTTTCAGAGAAAGAGCTGCACAGAACTGGGGTACCTAAGATGAGCCAGGTCTCCTTTGGACAGGCTGGATGGTACCCCCTCCCAGCCATTCATTTTGAGACATTCCTTGGTCTCCCTGCCCCCTAGGGCTTAAAATGTCAAGGCCACAGTGCTTCTTGGGGGAACTTGGAATAAATGCAGACCCTTATCACTTCCACCGCTCCAGCCTCCACACCTAAGCATTCCAAAGCAGCCAGGGTGACCCACCACCCCCTCTGACGTTCCGTGAAGCTTCTTTTTGGAACCCAGTCACTTTCTGGCCATTGTAATCATGGACAATTAACTTCAATGCACATTTATTGCCTGAGCTTTTAATCAGGTCCTAGGCCACAATCTGTGGGTGTGGTGCTGGCCTTCCCAGCAGGGGAGAAGCAAAGAACTCTCTCTCTCTCTCTCTCTCTCTCTCTCTCTCTCTCTCTCTCTCTTTCTCCTCCTTCTTCTTCTCCTCCTTCTCCTTCTCCTTCTCCTTCTTGTTTTCATAGACAAACTAGACAGCAATCGATGTGATCATTTGGCTCTCTCTCAAATCTGTTTGGTTCATAACTGGGCACTCAGCCCCAGCCCTCAGGAGCAGATGAGGTGAATGGATGGATGGGCGGATGGATGAGTATGAGAGATGTATGGGAACATAGAGCAAAGGGGTGTCAGGGAGGATGGGAAACACTTCCCAGAAGAGGGATGTTCAGGCAGGATCCCTGAGGTTGAGGTGGATGTTGAGAGGATCCACACTTGTGGAATGCCTGGGGCAGGGAGAGGAAGGGCGGGGGGAAGGGGAAGGAAAAGGAGGAAAGAAGAAGGGGAGCAAAAGGGAGGGGAGGCATGTGGTTTAGGCTGAAATGAATCAGTGTTCTTGTCTCCAGAGCAGCTTCAGAAAGAACAGTATGACAAAGCAAAGCAACAGATTTTCTTGCTCTTCTAAAAGAGCCTGTGGCTCAAAAGAACTAATTTTTCTCCCTCTCTCCTACCTCTCTCCTCAGTCAGGATACAACAAGGAATCTTGCAGGCTTGGACAGGTGTTGGGTGAAGGAAGCAGGGTCTGGCCTTGGAATGAGGCCAACACTGGATGACAAAGTTGGGAAGCCAAATCAGGACAATCATGGGGCGGGGGGCTGAGCCAAGCCACCCTACCAGGTGACTTTCCTTAGAGCTTTCCAGTTCTGAGACCAGAAGCAGCTCAAGTCAGGGTGCTCTGAACTTGGAGCATCACATCTGAAAACTGCCTTCAAACAGCTTCAACCCACTTCCCTGCCCCATCTAGTTCATGTTCTCCAGAGTGATGTTCAAACCCCAGGTACACCAGAATTACCCAAGCATTTGTGAAGGCCATGCGTTCCCCAGGGATCAGCAGGAAGTCTCAGGCTCCCCAGGCCCCTGCAATTGGTATGTGTGTGTTTCTGATGAAGGGCTGCTCTTGGGGGCACTGCCAGTCTTTGTGGTAACAGTTATCCTTCATTAAAAATTTTGGATTTATTTATTTTCATTTCATGTATATGAGTGTTTTGCCTACATGCATGTAAGTATACCCATGTCATTTATGCCTTCAGAGGCCAGAAGAGGGCATTGGATCCCCCAGGACTAGAGTTATGGATGGTTGTTAACTGCGATGTGGGTGCTGGGAACTGAACCCAGGTCTTCTGCAAGAGCAGCCAGTGCTCTTAACCACTGAGCCATCTCTCCAGCCCCAAGTACCCTTCATTAACTCTCACCATCTTCACTAGGGGAATGGGTATCTTGAATATCAGAGTTTGTTTCTGCATAACACAGGAAGGTGGGGGGTTGTCTTCATTAGTTTTCTCAACAACTGTCTGGTACCCCCTGTAACCCCCCCTCTGAAAAACACACAACAGAAGCCTGCAGGGGAGGGGCTGGTGATGGACCTGACTAGGTGAGATGACCTCATGTTTACTTATTCATAATTTATTATTTACTGTTTTACCATAAGTCATTTTCTAATTAATGATTATTAATTAGATGTAAAATTATTAAATGTTATTTACTCATATTTTTGTTTTGTTTGAGACAGGGTCTCCCTGTAGTCCCAGCTGGACTGGAATTTGCTATGTAGACCAGGCTGGCCTTGATCTCACAGACATCTGCCTGCCTCTGACTCTGGAGTGCTGGGATTAAAGACATGCACTACCATACTTGGCTGTTTGTGTTTTGTCTTTGTTTTGTGGTGCTGGGAATTGAACCCAGGGTACAAACATGTTAAACAAGTACTCTGCCACTGAGCTTCATTTAAACACTATCTATCCTTTATCTATCTATCTATCTATCTATCTATCTATCTATCTATCTATCTATCTATCAATCATCTATCTATCTATCATCTATCTATTATCTGGGTGTGTATGTGTTCCTGTATTCACAAGTGTATGCAAGTGCCCATGTAAAGGCTGGAGGTCAACTTCTGGTGTCTTCTTTGATCTGTCTCCACTTCATATTTTGAGACAGGATCACTCACTGAACCTGGAGCTCACGAATTAGGGTAGACTGACTGGCTGGCAAGCTCCAGGGATCTTCCTGTGTCCCCCTCTCCCTAGCCCTGAGATTACAGATGTGCTCCGCTATACCCAACTTTTATGTTGGTGCTGGGGGTGGGCCTCATGCTTATACAGCAAGCACTTTACTGATTGAGTCATCTCTCCAGCCTATTAAACATTATTGAAGCCATATAAGACAGCAGTGTAGAGGTGACAAATTTGCGATTCAGATTCCAGGACTGTGAGAAGCTCAAAGAATTGGGAAGGACTTGATAGAAGCTGGGATTTGGCTTTATTAATTGAAACTACCAATCCTTTACAGGTACATAGTGTTCACATCCATCTTTAGTTTCGATTGAAATACATGCCATACAATTCATCACATAGTTCAGTCATTTTTCCGTAGTCACAAGCTTGTGTCACCATGACCACTAATTTCACAATGCTGTCATCATCCCCCAAAGAAACCCTGTACCCATGAGCAACTACTCCGAGTTCCCTCATCCCAGCCCCTGGCAACCACTAACCTTTCTGTTTCTGTGGATCTGTCTGCTCTGGACATTTCACGTCAATGGAATCATCCAGAATGTGGCCTTTGTGTCTGACTTCTCTCATTTAGTACAATATTTCCAAGGTTTATCCATGACCTAGCATCGCCCACACTTGGTTTCTTTTTATCACTAAATGACACTCCATTGGATGGATGGGGCCACACTGTGTTTATCCATTCCCCCAGGTGATACTTTTTTGGGTGTTTCCACTTTGGGTTATGATGAATGCTGTTGCTACAAACATTCCTGTACAAGTGTTGGACTGAACATAGGTCTTCCGTTTTCTTGGTAACATGCAGCACAGACAATGGATCAGGCACCAGGAAAGTGGTCCCATGATGCCTTGCTGTGTAGTGAGCCATACCATCTGGGTTTGTGTAAGAACACTATGATTCTGGCACACGGTAACAAGGACCAGAAATGTGCTTCTGGCAGTGCATCCCTGTGTTTAAAGGATGCATGGCTGTATTTAGGGATGGCACTGCTGAGTCACAGACTAATTTCATGTTTGATCACTCGAGGAACTCCCAAACTGTTTCCACAGTCGTACCATTAGCGTTCCCACCAGCCATATATGACTGCTGTGTGTAGTGTTTTCTTCTTGTGAAATCGGCTTCACATCCATGATCTCATTTCATCCTCCCAATAGCCCTGCAAGGAGTTACAATCACATTTTATAGATAAAGACATTATATAGGTGAATATTCTTCCAGTTACAAGGATTAGAAACAATACCCACTGGCCGCAGTATAAAAGGGAATATGAAAAACTTCATGTATGAATTGGAAAGATGGCTCAGTGGTTAAGACTATGTTCTATTTCTGAACAAGGCTCAGGTTCCGTTTACAGTGCCCGGCTGCCTATAACTCCAACTCCAGGGAATCACTTCTTCTGGCCTGCACTCATGCCCATACCCATGCATGAATTTTGTTTTACTCTGGTCTCCTTTCCTATAGCAGACAAGATTTCTCTGCCTTTCTGGAAAGATGGCAGGCAACTTTCACAAGCTTTGCCTTTATAGATTCTAAAGGGATGGAAGCAGTCTTCCCTCCCAGATCCAGCAGAGAAGTTCAGATCTTGGATTCCCACCCTCCCCTGAACAAATCATAGTGTCTAGAGGACACAATATTATAGCTGACCCAGTCTGGGACACACACCCAGCCCTGGGAGCTTGGGAGGAGATGGCACAATGACTGACAGCCACACCAAGACCACATATTATAGGACAGGAGTCCTCAAAGGAAGCAGGGAAGGCAGATGGAAAGGCAAGCTAGATGCATAGCCCATAATTGCCAAGGCCACTACAAAGACCTATGCTCAAACCATGAGCAAGAGAGTCACTCAAGATTCCATAGCACCTACATGGAAGAGCTGTGATGGGAGCCCAGGAGTTCCAATGGCAGATTTAGAACTTGCCACAACATTTCCACTCGAAGGAGGGATAAGGATTCCAAATGGGGACCACATGAGGCTGGGCAGTCCAGAGGGAGGTCCCATGGGTGACTTCTCTGGTTCCTTGCCTTCTCTAGGAAGAAAGATGTAATGGATGGGATGCCAGTGATGAAGGCCTGAGTTCTCTAGAACTGTCAGACTCTTCTTCTAGCACAG